TTTCATATAGTGAAGAAGGATTAGAATGCTTGTTGTGCTTCTACTGCTATCTGCTAAAAATATTTCTCTTCACTTCCTGTCTTCCTGGGAATGGTTTCACTGGACAGGAAGTGAGAGAAAAATCTGTGACAGGGACACACAGATATAATCTGACAGGGGCCCTAGGCTTATCCTACTCTACTAATGAAAAGCATTTTTATTTCTGTTGGAGACTTCTCTTTCACTTCCTGTCTTTTAAAACCGGTGACATCAGGACAGGAAGTGAGGGGATAACTCACTAATGGAGCTCCAGGTAGCAGTACAGATGTGACAGGGGTTCTAACACTCCGTGCTCTATCCAAAAGTGAACAAACAAGATTAGCTGGACATACACTTTACGCTTACCAGTCCTTCAATGTTGTGATTGGGGATGCACCGATACAGAGTATTTGGGTGAGTACTTGTACTCGCCCAAATGCTCCGATGCCCCCTGATTGGCCGGAAAGCCGGCTAATCAGGAAGCCGGCAGCGTGTAATGACTCGCTGCCCGGCTTCCTCATTGGTCGGGAAGCTGGCCAATCAGGAAGCCGGGTGTCGTGTAATTACATGCCCCCTGTCACCTCATGATGAGGGAGCATGGAGCCAGCTTCCCGGCCAATCAGGAAGCAAGGCGCCTAAAGTCCGGTTTTCGGGTGCCGTGATAGGTTGAGCGATGGCGACACCCAGTAGGTGGAGCCTGATCTTTTCCGGGTCCCTATTGGCTGATCGCAGCACTCCTCCACAACATGGTTCCCCAGACGGACATCAGACACGGCCGAGACAGCATTATGCTCGTGACGAGCCTCTATGGCTCGCCCCTGATTGGCCACACGTACTTTAAAGTTGGAGATGAGGAAGGTGACGCTATGTTCTGATAAAGGGGGCGTGCCCCGGAAACGCGTTAGCGTCACTACACACAGGAATCGCCCAGTGGATGTCTTACTGCCTGTCAGCTTTCATTCCATGGCAGTGTGACACTCATGTTTGTGAGTACCATTCTGTTTTTACTTTATGTTCATTGAAATAAAATTGACCTGCACCAGGAAAGGCGCCCCCTTTGTGCTTATTTTCCCGAAATATCGGTATCGGTGCATCCCTAGTTGTGATTGCATTTTTTCATCCTCTTTTCCTTCATTTTCACCTGCTGATCCTGCCAATAAAACTTCCTGTCCTACGGTGACAACGCTTACTCACCCTTCTGTATCAGGACAACAGACACAGGATAGAACTACAGAACTCCACCCCTCTTCTATCCTCTATAATAGTGTTTCCCAGCCTGGAATGTGACTGCCCATAGGGGTACATGTTTAGGTGTATGTAGAAGAACAATGGTAAAAAAAAAGGCAGTGGCGTACCTGTGATGGTAAACAAAGTGGCACATGGTCACCATGTCTGGGAACTTACAGGGAATTACCTGGCAATTAGGGCTGCAACAACTAATCGACATAATTGATTAGTTGTTGTCAACTTTTTCAATCATCGATTAATCGGCTTCCGATTGGTTGGCCCTGTTCACGGCTCCACACAGCTGCGCGACACACCCCGCCTCACGCTCACCACCCGCCCAAATCCACGATCGGCACAGGGACACGGGGAGAAGAAGTAGGGAGGAGCAGGTGTGGGCGGATGACAGCCAGATCTCAGAAACAAGTTGCTGGAAGAACGGTTAGGTAAGCGTGCCATTGCTGGGTGTTGTAGTCCTCTATAGCTGGAGGTATTCTGCATTGTGCTGTATAATGTATTATTGGTGGGATTTGTAGTCCTCTATAGCCGGCGCCGTTCTGCATTCATTGCTGTATAATTTTACACTTTTCATTTCACTATATTGCACACCACAGTTTTTGTTTTTCTTTTTTACCTCCACCGCTCCGAGCTTGCTCCTGTGATGGACTACAATCTCAATACAAACTAGAAGTCCCATCACTGGAGCCATTTTTAAAATGTATTTTATTTTTTAATTTTTTTATCCGATTAATCGAACTTAATAATCAGCTAACTAATCGATTTTGAAAATAATAACTGCAGCTCTACTGGCAATGCCGGATTTTGTGATCGTTTACCAGGTTTCCGGTTTGCGTTCTGATATCTATGGCCTGGCTGGCTGAATGTTAACATTACATCACTGCCAGTCACTTCCTGGTTTGGAGAGAGAAAGGGAGGGCTGAGGTCGCATAACACAGCACAGGAGTTGAATTGTGCTGTGATGGCAGTGGACGTAGTAGGACTGTAGTAGGACTGTGCTGTGATGGCAGTGGCCAGTGTAGGACTACCTGTGATGGCAGTGGACGGAGTTGGACTGTGCTGTGATGGCAGTGGACGGAGTTGGACTGTGCTGTGATGGCAGTGGACAGTGTAGGACTACCTGTGACAGCAGTGGATGGTGTAGGACTGTGTGGTGCTGGCAGTGGACGGAGTTGGACTGTGCTGTGACGGCAGTGGACGGAGTTGGACTGTGCTGTGACGGCAGTGGATGGAGTTGGATTGTGCTGTGACGGCAGTGGATGGAGTTGGATTGTGCTGTGACGGCAGTGGATGGAGTTGGATTGTGCTGTGACGGCAGTGGACGGAGTTGGATTGTGCTGTGACGGCAGTGGATGGTGTAAGACTGTGTGGTGATGGCAGTGGAGGGAGTTGAACTGTGCTATGACGGCAGTGGATGGAGTAGGACTGTGCGGTGATGGCAGTGGACAGAATTGGACTGTGCTGTGCTGGCAGTGGATGGAGTCGGACTATGCTGTGTTGGCAGTGGATTGGGTTTAGTGTGACTGTGCTGTGCTGGCAGTGGATGGAGTCGGACTGTGCTGGCAGTGGATGGGGTGGAGTGTGACTGTGCTGTGCTGGCAGTGGACGGTGTAGGACTGTGCTGTGCTGGCAGTGGATGGGGTAGGACTGTGCTGTGGCGGCAGTGGACAGAATTGGACTGTGCTGTGCTGGCAGTGGACGGAGTCGGACTGTGCTGTGCTGGTAGTGGATGGGGGGGAGTGTGACTGTGCTGTGATGGCACTGGACGGAGTCGGACTGTGCTGTGCTGGTAGTGGATGGGGGGGAGTGTGACTGTGCTGTGATGGCAGTGGAGGGTGTAGGACTGTGCTGTGCTGGCAGTGGACGGAGTTGGACTGTGCTGGCAGTGGATGGGGTGAAGCATGACTGTGCTGTGGTTTCTCAGTGTGTTGTAATGCTGGCCCTGCAGGCTAAACAAGAAAGATTTCCCCCATCCACACTAAAGGAATGGATCTTTCAGAGTGGCTCCTTCAACAAAAGTCAATTGAAAAATAGGTGGGGAGGGGGTTAAATGGGGGGATGGGCTCACATTTTGACAAGTGTATGGCCAGTTTAAGTAAGTGACAAGTGTACTTAAAATCAGGGTCACCAGAGTCACCCCAAAGCTCACTCAATGCTGATACGCTGTGCAGTTCTGAGTCAAAAGAATGATGCGGATTGTCACACCGTGTGCGTTTTGTGTATTCCACCATCTTTGTCCTCCTGTCCTACCAAGTCAAAGTTTGTAAAATAATTCAAGTGTGGACCTTCTTCCTTGAAGGGCATGTAAGTGAGATCTATCCTACAGAACACTGGAACACTGCTGTAGATGAAGAGCCTACCTTCATCTAGAGCCGCAGTGCCATAGTCTGTGATCCTCTTCCATGACTGATGAAGGCTAACCCTTGGAGGCAAGTGCGGTATTTATATAAAGGCTTCTGTTGCCTGTGTACAATATTTTTTTCAGGAGAACCTCTTTTAGGGAAGCACCCATACTGATACTAGTATCGGTATGGGTGCTGATACAGATTATTTGGGCAAGTACTTGTACTCACCTAAATACTCAGATACTTATTCCGATACCGGAACATCCGGTCAGAGGGAGATTTCCTCTGACCGACAGTGCCGCAAGGGAACATGTAGCTGGCTTCCCGGCCAATCAGGAAGCCTGGCTGCGGGTAATGACCTGCCTCCCAGCTTCCTGATTGGCTGTGAAGCCAGCCCCATGCTGATTGGCTGGGATGCCGGCTTCCCGGCCATTCGACATCGGGCTGGCCAAACAGCATGGAGCCACCTTCCCGGGCAATCAAGAAGCCAGGTAATGACATGCTGCCTGGCTTTCTAATTGCCTGGGAAGCCGGCTCCATGCTACCGGAAGTATCGGTATTCGGTATTGACCAGTACCGAAATATAAATATCGGTACTCCTACTCGATACTGAAAAGCCGGTATTGGTGCATCCCTAATCTCTTTCGCGCCATCCACTTTGAGATGAGATTTATTCCGTTATGCAATCTCTGGATCAGTTAATTTTTTCTTTACGGTCGATGCGCGTAAAAGACATTCGTTTCCTGTATCAATATAATTTATGTATGTATGTCATTTCTGCTCCACCTAGTGGCCAAAATGCAGTATTACATCACAATACATTTGATCTGAAAAGAAAATATATGAAGCGAACGTTCAGAGATATTCACTGCCAAGTATTTATAAATAGACCTCTTTGGCTAAATGTATTGATGTGTCCTGCTAGGAAGATCCAACCTCTCTAGTTGTCCTGATGACTGTTGCCACAGAGGAGGGAAGTGATGGGAAATCCTACATTTTACAGCTGTCCTGTGAACTAGAGGTCAGGGTAAATAATCCAATGAGGACGAGGACAAATGTTTTGGGAAGACTGTCTTAAGATAGGAATTCCCCTCACTCTAGGCAGTTTTCTACTTTCTTCTTCTTGTAGCTCTCAAACAGGAAGTGAAGGAAAGTTTTCCCAGCGGGTCTATTGATCTTGTGCTGTTGCAGTCAATGGCAGCATGTTTCCATTCCGGGAGGTGCTTGTGATCTCACGCCTAAAACATGAATACACTTTTATCAGGGTCAGTTCAGCCTTTCTTGAGGTTTTTTAATTTCATTTTTAGACCTGCCATATTAAATGATAACTGGCGTCTCATTACACATTGCAACATGCTTATTTTTATTGTTTTTTAGGCACTCAAGATTTTAGTCCCTCTGGTTCCTGCTGTCATTTAAGGAGTAGAAATGAGTTCATCCGGGACATCTCTGTAAGTAAATTCTTAATCCTATTTATACCTAAAGTGCATCTAAACTGCAGCACAAAAATTTAATATGTCACAGCTTAGCAGTCCGTACTTGTGGTGCTTCATTTTGGGGCTTTTTTTTTTTTTTATCTGGCGTTCTTAGCAGTAACACACTTACTGTCCCAGGGTGCCAACGCTCAATGATTGTACTGTGTCTATGGAGGAACAACATTGTCACTCTCGGACAGGAAGTGTGTAAGGACTACAGAAGTTCTTCCCTTCTTTTAAAGGAGAAGTAAAATGCATTCATCCCCATAGTTAGAGCCGATGTGTGACACTGCACCTGTCACACATCGGCTCTATTGATCGAGAACTGAGTGATCACATACTGCTGATCGCTCAGATCACGATCTTCTCTCTGCAGAGAGTGGTGACTGTCAGTCACCGCTTCCCACAGGGATTCCCCCCCTACCCTCTCCAATCATTCAGCACTGCCTGGAGGAACAGACGGAGGAGTGGGCACAGCTGACTCTGGTTCTAGAGAGGCAGAGCCAGCTGTCAATCAGGTAGCAGGGTTGGATCCTGACAATATTGCGCTTTAGTGGGCAATAGCTGGTTACATGCAGAATTTTGGGTCAATGGAGAACAACAGTACATGTCCTCCTGTGACCCAAAACAGAGCTAACGCTAACAAAGGTTTGGCCTTAGTTCTCTTATAACTCCATTACAAGGTGAGGGGGTGAGGTTCTGTAGTTCACAGTGGAAACTTGGCAGGACTGTTTACACTGTTTTGATTTTTAGTGCAGGAGGGGCAGAGTGCGCAGGAAGTTACAAGCTCTCTAAGGCCGTATTCACACCAAGCGCAGAGCAGGTGCAGAGCAGATCAGTTGCAGACCGGATCAAAACTGCGTCCAATGTATTCCAATGGTATTTTTTGCTCCAGTTCACATTGCAGCATGCAGTTCCACGGCAGCAGACCCTATTTTACCTGCTCTGGATCTACAAACGCATCAAAAACGCATCAAAAACGCATGCAAATGCCTGGAACGCACTAAAAGCCCATTTTAAACTTTTAAAAAAAAACCCATCTAAAAGACAAGCGTGCGTGTGCAGAAACCTGACCAGATCTGCTCTGCATTTGGTGTGAACAAGGCCTAAGACATCTTGTAGCATCAACAGATAATGTTTTGCAGTCATCAAACAGATATAGCAAAACAATTTTCAATGGATCATTTAACTGACCACAAGGGAGAAAATAAGAGCAGTTAGTTGTTAGTGATTACATACACTTTAAGAGTTTTCAAATAATGTTTAAACCATTTTCAATGAACAGTGCAATGTACGCTATACTACATAGAAACTGCTGCATGCAGCTCACCGTATTTATGTGCATAGACATGACAATGGTGACGAGGGCAAAGAGGATGAATCTCCTCTGTGAGAACAGGAACAAAACCTGTCAGGGGTTCCAACCTTTCACCACTGCATTGAGAACTAAAAAATGAAGCTTTGGCCTTAAATACACCTTAAAGTAGCCCTGACTGTGAAAGCTTGCTCCCAAATAAGACAAGGAAAGGCCAAAGGACTAGTTATTTGTTACCAGTATTGCCTGTAGGCTCTCCCATTTCCACATTATGGGCTTACCATGCCATGTTCTGCGCTCTGTCTCTGCGCATAGGTGACCTTCTTGATAGAGAAGCAGAGCTTTGCTTCCTGATCTCACAGCTGCCCCTCCTTCCCTAATCACTAGTGGGGAATGGCCAAGCAAAAAAGAAAGAGAAGTACAGATCTACAAAAAGAATAGGTGTAGAAGAAGCAGGGAGATCCTTGCACTGCAGGTTTCGGTGCATCCCTAACTAAAGCCAAACCTTTTTTTGGCTTTAGTTCTCTTTTGGGCCACAGGAGTACATTATGCTGACAGTGCAGATGCTGCAGCCGGTAGGTATCCCGACAATATTGTCGGGATCCAGCCAATGCCTGATTGACAGCTGACTCTGCCTTTCTTGAGCCAGAGCCAGCGGTGCCCGCCGCTTCCCCTGTCTGTCCCTCCAGTGAGCGCTGGAGGAAACTGGTGACTGAAAGGGAGAAGGGAGAAGACGGTGAGCTGTGTGATCAGCGGTTTGTGATGCTCAGTACTCACCAACTCAAACTGTTGAGAAGAGTATATTTTACTCTCCCAATACTTCTCCTTAAAAATGTTTGTTTATTTTTGCCTCTATTTACATAGAATAAACGTATGCAGAGAGATTCTCAGGGCGAACGTCTGTGCCAATTGTTATAAGTAGGCCGTTATGTGTGTGTGTGTCGGTGTGTACATAGATTTCTTTTGAAGGAAGCGATAGATTCCTTTTAACTCTGCACCTGTATTTATCAAAGGCTAGCCACATTTCATTATAATGGCATTCATCTTATAAATGGCCTGAATACTGTGTAAAAAGCTCTTTCTGCTATTGCGTTATTCATGATTTATAGAACTAGAGCGCAGTTCTTTGTATCCACAAATAATAGCCCTTAATCACAGGTCAACGCCACTGTGAATAAAGCAGTCACCCATCTTCTTTGTCCACAGGGATGACGAAGACACATTTAAGATCCTGGTGGCGACCGACATTCACCTGGGCTACATGGAGAAAGACGCGGTACGAGGGAACGACACTTTTGTGACGTTCGATGAGATCCTGCGGCTGGCGAAAGACAATGAGGTAAATGTAGTGTCATTCTATGTAAGGGCTTGTCACATGAAAGAGACTACCAGGAAAGAGCAAGGTCTTATCCATAGTCAGTGGTCATTGTTCTGCCGTCCATTACAGTGTACTTTGCCTCTAATTGCTGAGGGGCCTTGCAGGAAGTAGCGGCGGGGTCTTGTTACTCCAGCCGCACAAGTGGCTATTAAATGGTTGACTATTGTTGCACGCATCATAGGGTGTAATGCATAGTAAGGTCCTCTTCATGATAATGCCATAAACCCCCTAACTAACAATAGATTGTCCTTGCTTCTGGCTGTTTAGTAAAACTATTGCTGATAAAACTTACAATGGATGCTGCTCCTTGATGTTTAAAACTTTTAGCTTCTTGCAGAATCAGCTGGTCCCCTGAGCACTGGTCCTGATATCTTGTTATAGGGTGGCCCCTTTCCCTTGCAGGGTCCTATGGAGCCACCCTTGTGTGTGCTAGTAAGCTGTGTGTTTCCACAAACGCACAGGAACAGCAAGGCAAGACACTTCCTGCTTGCTACTCCTTCCTTCGCCTTCCACCCTTCACCAAGCTAGTAGATGGATGGTTTCTGGAGACTGTCCTCACTGAGCACTCCCAGCACATAGACCAGACATAGGTCACTGTTTACGATTAGGAGCCAGGGTCGGGCTCCTGATTATGTGATTGGCTGTCACAGCGGTCACTTGATCATAAGCACGTCCCCAGCTCCCATTATTAAAGTGACATAAAAGAATAACATTTTTTTTTCTCCCCCCAATGTTAGTGTCAGCACTTACCTTAAATTATGTCTCTTAATCCGATCTTCTTCTTCTTTCCTGTCCTTTTCAGCCTTCTCTCCAGCGCTGCTGCGGGTCTCCGATCCAGCGCTGACTCCTCTGTCCTTGCTGGCACTTCCTGTCCCACGGTGTCTGCATGCTGGTGCACGCTGTCCATAGACTTACCTTGTGTCTCTCCTCATCTCCCGGCTGAAAATCTGAACTACGCATGCGCCAGCCCCAAGATCCTTTGCGGCCACCCGAGATTTTTCCGATTTTCGGACGGGAGCGCACAGGGAAGACACATGTACGTTTTAAACCCTTTTTAAAGCATTTTTTAAATTACGTTTTTGCATATATCTACTGCTTGCTAGCTATATATATATATATATATATAACACATTTCCAATAGGTGACGAATGAACTTTACAAGCCTGTACAGATTTTAAAGTTAAAGCATTTTTGGTAGTGGAAAAAGTTGGAAAGGGTTAAGGTTTTTCTTTTTTTCTCTGTCTTTGTTCCTTTTAGGAAGAGTCACCCTCTCTGCTTGTCCTGGTAACCACTTTCACTGTGATAGAAAGTGAGAGAAATGCAAAAGCTTCCAGTTGTCACCAGAACAGGAATACAGGGGAAATCTTCCCATGGGGACAACTGTCAAAGAGGGGAATGCTCTTTATCAGGGAGTAAAGTCTTTGCTGATTGCAGAGCTATTGGCCTAACACAGCAGGGAGAGTGCAGAGAAAAAGGGTCCTTCTCTGCAGCATACTGGAAAGGGAACATGCTTTTCTACTTAGGTTGTGGCTGCTTTATAAAAAAAAATAACAAAAAACAAACAAACACTAATATATTGCAAACTTTTTTGTTTTAATGTATTTAGCTGATTTAAAGCAAAACTCCAGGGAAAATTATTAGTAACCCTTGCATTGGGGCTACCCCTACACTGCAAGGGTTAACTGCTCATTTTGGTCTACGGAGGAAAATAACAAGGTTATACTCACCCAGTCCTCTGAGCCGGCCACTACTCCCCCCAGCCTGTCTGTGTATAGAACGTGATGATTTATGGGCTCTTAGACCGCTGTAGCGGAGGGGGAGAGTGGCTGGAAGGGCCTTTACTAAAAGAAAGCCGGCTCCAAAGGATCAGTTGAGTATAGCTTTTTATTTTCCTCTCTAGACCAAAACGAGCACCTAACCCTTGCAGTACAAGGGTAGCCCCACTGCAAGGATTAATAACAATTTTCCCCGGAGTTCTTCTTTAAACTGAAAGTTCACTTGGGCTTTAAACTTTAAACCATTTTCAGTGAGGGAAACAATTCTGGAGCAGTGCACCATTGTTGCCACCTCATCACATGAAGCTGCATTAGGTGAACTTCACTGGCAGGATCATGAGATATCTTTGGGACTTTGCAGTGCTCCTTTTTACACAGCGGTTCCCGCTGGGATCCCGCCCGCCACTCTCTCATCTTTCCCTTGAACCCCTATTATGTGAAACTATGGACTGATCCGTAACAACACGTCCCATCTCTTATTTATAAGGACAGTTAAAAGGGCGAAGAGTTTGGAGAATGAAGGAGAAGTGAGCAATCTAGACCTAAATAGCCGATTTGGAAAAATTCCCCAATTTAGCTCATTTTCCAGTTCAGCGATGTTGTCCTAGATTGTTCACTTCCAGTGGCGTTGCTACAGGGGGGCAATTGCCCCCCTAGGTTATTCCTTGCCCCCCCATAAAAAAAAAAATATATATAAAACCCGTATGCATTGCCTTTATAGCCCAATGTCATCCTGGGGGAATGTGCAAGTAGGAGTTTGTGAACCAATAGTAAATGTATTCCTGTTACCCAAAAGAGAACTATAGCCAAACTAGATTACAGGCTGTAGGCAAACCTGATTTCTTTGAGTGTGGGCGCTACAAAGAAAAAAAGAAAGCGCAGATCACTATGGAACTGGAAAGGAAAAACAGGTTTATATGTATTTATTTTATAAATACACGATAAAAGCTTTCCTGCTCCCCCTGTGTATTATTATATCAATCTGTATCTTTTTTTTTTGCATATTTATTTTCTTACATGTAATTGCTGTCTACAATTGCAGCCTGTGCATCAGATAATGCATCGCTAGGAAAATATAGGAGAGAGATGTTTTTATAAATAATCCTCCTGCAATTTAGGTAATTGTTCTGTATAGCATTGCCACATGAATCAGAAAATATACTTTACTGAGAGCTTTTGGATTGTCTGATTATTCTTTTTTTGTTATTGTGTTTTTTTTGTGTATAAAAAGTTCAAGCAGAGTCTTTGTGAGGCCTGATTGTGATATACTACTATTATACTGCTATATAGTGTATACTATGGTGTATAGATGGCCATACAGTCCTGTTGACTCAGCCGAAAGTCGTGCAGTGTGTGGCTCTGTCAGACCCCCTCCGTTCGGGGAAAAAAAAAAGCCAATTTTTTTTCCATTGACTTTTGACGAAGGAGTTTGAAATTTGTCAGCCGAACCGTGACTGAAAAATCAGTGGCAGTCACTGTTTATGTATTCTGACAGTGCCGGCTGTCAGAATAAGAAATTTGTTTCTGTTCAGCATCTTTTTTTCACACGAAAAAAGTAAGTAATTAATTTGACATATATGTACTGTATATACACTTCCTGTCCAAGAAAAAAAACAAACTGGATTCAGCTAAGCAAATAGGTCAGAGCCTTCCATCGGATAATAGTTCTAGGTTCAGCAACGTCATGGGCCCAAAAAATGAGATCAGCTGCCTACCTGAATATACAGAATGAATAGGTTTTTCCATCAATGGCTTTTTTTTCTTCCCTGATAGCACTTTGGGCATATTCCAAGATGACAATGCTAGGATTCATCACATGGATTGGCCACCACAGTCCAGACCGTAACCCCATTGAGAATCTTTGGGATGTGCTGGAGAAAACTTTACACAGTGCTCCGACTCTCCCATCATCGCTACAAGGTCTTGGTGAAAAATGAATTCAACTCTGGATGGAAATAAATGTTGTGACATTACATAAGCTTATTGAATCAAGCTCACAGCGAATGCGTGCCGTAATCAAAGCCAAAGGCGGTCCAACGAAATATTAGAGTGTGCGACTTTTTTGGCCAGGCAGTTTATAAGTCAAACTGTTTGCTTGGAGTTCTGCTGTGATCTTAACAGTTGTCTGCTAGAAGCTTTGTTGAGAAAGCTATAAAGTAATAGGGTTTCTGGAGGGGTGTAATTGACCATCCAAGAGAGATATATTAAAAATATATATCAAATTTATTTGTATAAGTTAAAAGCGATGCATTTCATATATTTAACAAAAACCCTGCATGGGATTTGCTTGAGTAAACACTATTTTAGTACATACATATTCAAATAATCCAAGTGTTGCAAAATCAATAACATGACAATAATCACAGGATTTAACAGAAATATAGTTGCCCCTATAGTGGCTTAGCTTAATAGGTCTTAGCTTAGCTTAATAGGGTCTGACGCGTTTCGCCAGTGGCTTCATCAGGGGACCCACAACAGATGAATCATGCAGGGTTAACTTGCGAGGTAAGGGAGGCACCTGGAGGATCGAAAGTGGAAGCCGGATAACCCCACCACCACCCTCACGATCTCCTTTTTGTCACAATCGGGACCTCAGAGTCATACAGGGAGAGATGGCATCCTTTCACAAAGGTTTTATTTGGTTTTTATAATTTTTGTTTTCACATAAAGGTTACAATCAATAAGAGAACAGAAATAGGGCATGCAAGCCCCGCAACAAGGAACACAAATTATAGGCGTATAAAGAGGGCAGTGCTGTCCAGTTATAGTGGGTAGGACCTAAGATGACATGAAAAGGAGCAACATAGGGGGGGGCTTATCAGGTCCGGACCCTGGGTATCATGGAGTAGAGAGCAATGAGGTGGACGATCCCCTACACCGAGACATCCGATGCAGATGGTACGGGGGACGTCAAACAGCACAGATCGGTGTAGGGAGAGCAACAGGGGGGGTTGAAGGAAGAGGGCATGGAAGTAGAGAAGGAGGGAGAGACCGGGAATGGGAAAGAACAAGATGGGAGTAGGACAAGGAAGGGTGGTGGGCTAGGGAGGGTGTCCAGGAGGGGGTGGGAAGTACAGAGCCTCTAAATGGAGAGAAGCTGCGGATCGAAGGACGGTGGCTTAGAGTAGTCGATCCAAGGTTGCCAAATCAGTAGGAAGCGGTCATGGGTGTCGGACAGAACCGCAGTCAGTTTCTCATTGACCAGTATATCATCTATGCGATTTTTGACTTCCCTGAAGCTCAGAGTCGGGGTTTTCCACGCTCTGGCGATTGTCATTTTGGTGGCGACAAAGATGTGGGACACAAGGTGCTTCTGGTAACGAGATAACTGTGGAACTGGCTGTAGCAGCAATGCCTTGCACGGTTCCTTTGGTAAGGTGAGTTGAAAAAGAGAGTTGAGTGAGTTGTAGACCCGATTCCAGAGGTGTGCCGCCCACCAAATGTGGATCATGGTGCCCGGTGCGCCACAGCCCCGGAAGCAGTGCGGAGAGTAGGAGGGAATGAATTTCGCCAGACGGGCAGGCGTGTAATACCAACGGTACATCACTTTGTAGGAGTTCTCGAGTGCAAGTACATTGCGGGAGCAACGGGCCACCGCTGACCAGGTATGCTGCCAGTCCTCAGAAGTTAGAGATCTGCCCAGTTCCTCATGCCACTGACGAGGGAGAGGAAGGGATTTCAGAGACAGGAGGACATCATCCGCGAAGAGGGACATTTTGTGGTGAGTTCCCGCCACCTCAAGGCCCTGAATATCAGGGTTGGTTCTAATGTATTCTGCCAATGGCTCAAGGGCGAGGGCAAAAAGGATGGGCGATAGGGGGCAACCTTGGCGGGTGCCGCGCGCTATCGGGAACAGGGATGATTAAAAGCCACAGTACTTAAGCTTGGCCTGGGGTGAGGCATAAAGGGCCGCGACCCAGGAGATAAAGTGGGAACCAAAGCCCCAGTGACGGAGAACCTCAAAGAGGTACGGCCAAGAGAGCATGTCGAAGGCCTTGGAAATATCCAAGGACAGCAACATCATCTCCCTGGAGCGGAGAGATGGCATCCAGTCATCCAGCCAGCTTCATTAGGAGGCGTGTACCAAAAGTGATGTATGTTGGAGGAAGGTCCGGCTGGATGTTCATGTAATCCTATTGAATTTCACTGGTGGTGTGAGGCTACCTGCATGCCTCCATGGTGATCCCCGAAGCTGCCGTTTGCTGAGTTACAAGCTGCATGCCAGTTCAGAGTGATTCTGAACAGGGGCTTCACTGTCCTGGAATTATTACACAGCTTGTGACTTGCGAGAGTTACTTTTAGAATTGTATTTGGCTTGACGGTATCCTATAAAAAAAGTGTGGCGGTAATACTTTTCATATCTTTCCACAGGTCGACTTCTTGCTGCTTGGTGGAGATCTTTTTCATGACAACAAACCTTCCAGGAAGACCCTACACATTTGTATGGAGCTTCTGAGAAAATACTGTATGGGAGATCGCCCGGTCCAGTTCGAGGTTCTCAGTGACCAGTCGGTTAATTTTAGCTACAGCAAGTAAGTGTGGAGCATGTGAAGAGTATAGTGATGCCATTGTTGTTCTGTGTAGTAACATTGATGCTTTCCTTTCTATAGCTGGTGAGTTGTATTGGTGCCTTACCCACTCTATCCAAAACCTGAAAAAAGTTTGACTGGAGTTCCACCTCTTACTCAGTCTATTTAGGACATCTTTCTCAAAATTTTTCATATTAAATCCATATTTAGGGTATAACATGAAACGTGGTTGTATAACCTAACCCCTCCCACCCTCAAACTGCCCCCACCCACTTACAGGAATCGCAGAGTGCAGCATCTTGCTTTTATTGTAAAACTTTTTTAAAGTTTTGGGTGCGGTGGGATTGTACCTTCCATTTTCTATGCGATCCCATCCGTTGCATTGCGATTTTTAGGCTTTTTTCTTCCCCCCTCTTTTGACATATTTCACAGACATAGACATACTTCACTAAAGCTAGCGATGTGTTGCAGTAGCGCGTGTCTTTGCAGCGTTGCATTGCACGAAAAAAAGTAGAGCCTGCGGACAGCATCTCAACGCAGTGCACTGGTGTGAACTCTCCCATTCACACCAATTCATTTTTCGTTACCCTTGTGCTACCATCATTGAAAAATGCACGGGATTCCGTGTGAATGGGTCCTAAAAGTTAAAACATAACTATAATATAGCTAGCCAACAATATTTATTCGTGGTAAACGTATGTTAGCAAGCTTGCTACCCACACCTGGCAAACCAGGCCTTTTGGCTTGTGCAGAACAAGCAATGGACAAGGTCCTTCAATATCAAAGGTTATTCTGATCTTGACCTTTCTCAAGAAAAGTGTATGGCAACAATAGTGCTTAAAGGAGAATTATGGGGTCAGTGTTTTTCCCCATAGTTCTCCTTAGGGTAACGGGAGGACACAAACTAGCGTCCTCCCGTTACCCTAAGCTCAGTATACCGCGAGCTACAGCTCGCGGTATACTGAGACGCCGCAGCCGGAGCGGATCCCGACGTAGATGACGGGATCCGCCCAGCTGCGTGAGTGACAGCTGGCTCTGCCTATCTAGAGGCAGAGCCAGCTGTACCCGCCCCCTCCCC